AAAGGAGACTAACAAAGACACAGAGAAGGTGAAGAACCATTTAGAAATGGGGGGGGGGAGAAGAAATCTAACTAACCTCATTTTGTTTGTCATGTACACGTGTTACTTCAATTCTCAGCTGCTTGGACTGTGACACTTGCACCTACAAACCAGAGAGATGTGCAGGTGCAGCATGAACAGTGACTCATTTCATTACTCAAAAAGAAAAAAAAATCTAGAGATTTTTAAGTTAAACTCCTACCGTGCTTCCACTCTCCCCTTGTCTCTTACTGGGGGACGGGTTCCATCTGGGTGGCCTGTGAGCTGCTCTGCTGCTGTGTGTGTTGCTGTGTATTTTAGGAGGCTGTGCTCCGATTCCTTGAATGCGACCACTCCTTCTGTGTCCAGATATTCCATCATTCACACAGCTGTGAAGGTTTCCACACAAAAAAATTATAAATAAAACCAGAAAATTTGGACAATGCAGCATTTTTGTTTCATGTTGTTATGTCCACACTGGAGCCAATATCTAGGCTATGGTTGAAACATAGTGGTACAATATAACTGGAATAAATATAACTGATCATTCAGTCTGTGTAAATGTAATAATATCCAATAATCGATGCATTTCTTACACTAGGTTAACACTGAAAATGCAGTTTCTGTAATGTACAGTGGGGCAAATAAGTATTTGATACACCACTGATTTTCCAACTTTTCCCACTTACAACAAATGGACAGATCTGTAATTTTCATCGTAGGTACACCTCAACTGTGAGGGACAGAATCTACAAAAAAAATTCCAGTAAATCACATTGTTAAATTTTTTAAATAATTTATTTCCATTTTATTGCACGAAATAAGTATTTGATCACCTACCAACCAGCAAGAATTCTGGCTCTCACAGACCTGTTAGTTTGTCTTTAAGAAGCCCTCCTATCCTCCACTCATTGCCTGTATTAACTGCACCTGTTTGAACTTGTTACCTGTATAAAAGACACTTGTCCACACACACTTGCCCTGGCTGTGTGTTTGGGGTCATTGTCATGCTGGAAGACTCAGCCACGACCCATCTTCAATGCTCTGACTGAGGGAAGGAGCTTGTTCCCCAAAATCTCATGATACATGGCCCCACCCATCCTCTCTTCAATATGGTGCAGTCATCCTGTCCCCTTTGCAGAAAAGCACCCCCAAAGCATGATGTTTCCACCCCCATGCTTCACGGTTGGGATGGTGTTCTTGGGATTGTACTCATCCTTCTTCTTCCTCCAAACACGGAGAGTGGAGTTTATTTTGGTCTCATCTGACCACATGACCTTCTCCCATGCCTCCTCTGGATCATCCAGATGGTCTTTGGCAAACTTCAGACGGGCCTGAACATGTGCTGGCTTGAGCAGAGGGACTTTGCGTGCGCTGTAGGATTCTAAGCCATGACGGTGTAGTGCGTTACTAATGGTAACCGCTGAGACTGCGGTCCCAGCTCTCTTCAGGTCATTGACCAGGTCCTCCCGTGTGGTTCTAGGCTGATCCCTCACCTTTCTCAGGATCACTGATACTCCACGAGGCGAGATCTTGTATGGAGCCCCAGTCCGAGGGAGATTGACAGTCATCTTGAATTTCTTCCATTTTCTAATAATTGCGCCAACAGTTTTTGCCTTCTCATCAAGCTGTTTGCCTATTGTCCTGTAGCCCATCCCAGCCTTGTGCAGGTCTACAATTTTGTCCCTAGTGTCCTTAGACAGCTCTTTGGTCTTGCCCATAGTGGAGAAGTTGGAGTCTGATAGATTTAGTGTGTGGACAGGTGTCTTTTATACAGGTAACGAGTTCAAACAGGTGCAATTAATACAGGCAATGAGTGGAGGATAGGAGGGCTTCTTAAAGACAAACTAACAGGTCTGTGAGAGCCAGAATTCTTGCTGGTTGGTAGGTGATCAAATACTTATTTCATGCAATAAAATGGAAATAAATTATTTAAAAATCTAACAATGTGATTT